CTCTCCTCGCCGCCGCCGTCGCGCAGTCGCTGCCCGGCTCCGCGCGCGGGGCAGGTACGGGAGCGCGGCGGGGTGGCCGAGCGGGGTCTGCGGGGGGAAGGTCCGCGTCCGGCGGCTGCCGCCCCTCCTGCCGCCCCCCGCCGCCGGCCGGGACCGCTGACGGGTGGAGGGAGGGAGGGAGGGAAGGAAGGAGGGAGAGGCTGGGCCGCCTGCTCTGCCCACTCTCCGCTCCCGCAGGGGCCCCTCGGGCAGGAGCATCTCCCGTTCCCTCCTCTGGCGAACAGGTGCAGGCGCCCCCGCCTCTGCTCGGCCGCCGGGCCCTGAGCTGCCCTCAGGGCGGAGGGACCCTGCCGGGCGCCAGCCCCGAGCGGGCTGCCCAGAAGGGCGGTGGCTGGAACGGCGGAAGGGACATTAATCCGTTTCAGTGGTGGTGTTGTCGATGATAAGGACAAGCGCCCTTGTAAGTGGCACTTGGTGCTCGATGGAGGCCCCGGTGACCATTGGCTTCTCTGTGCAAGCGGGGTGAGGGGTGGCACGGCCGGTGGTAATGGCAAAGCTCTCTTTTGTTGGTGTGCTTCCAAACGGGAAAAAAACCCCCCAACTCTTGTAAGGTGCTTTTAGAATTTGTTGTATATTCAGAAGTCAACTTAGAGCATCACAATCTGAAAAACTGGAAATTTAGAAGCTGAAGAGCCTTTATAGAGCAAAGAGGTGGATAGTATCTGGAATGAAGTTGCCTTTCCAATTATCTCCACCATGGGTGTTTGTCTCCTGCCTTCATGTCATGCTCCTGAAGCAAAGGCAATAGCCTGTTTTTCAGAGGCTGTTGTGACATGACAGATCCTTGGAAAAATTAGTTAGTAAAAATCAACTTTTAATTTTCCTTTTCAGGTTTTATTTTTAAAGAATAGTGCTTATTTGCTATATGAAACTAGTTCCTGTACCTTGTGTAAATTACACTGCAGTTGCTGTTCAAGGTTGCAATTTACAGGGCCAAGCCCGGGGTGCAGCTGTGCAGCTGCATCAGCCTAGAGCTGTTCTTGGCTGAGATCAAGCTTTTGCATGTACATGGTGACAGACATCAGGTGGAATAGGAAGGTGAGTTTAGGGAATATACTGGATTCTTTGACTGTGCTGCCTTAGCTAGGGACAAATCAGTCTGGTTTTGAGAGTCCTTGGGGAGAGAAAAGTGTTGTCAAATGTGTGTCAAAATGTTCAGAAACACCCGAACTTGGACTTGTAAGCAGTATTATGTGCCTTATAGTAAAGGTGTTGTTTATTTTCTAATTGCTACAAATATCATAAAGAGGAATGCTGAATTATTTACCGAGATGTAAATGTTCCTTACAGGAGGTATGGAAACAGATAGCAAGAAGGCATGGACATACACTCCCAGAAAATTTATTTTGTTCTTATTCTTGGGACCATAAAATTCAGTGTTGCTACCACTGCTGAGGAGTGTTGCATGTACAGTGGCCTGAGTAAACCACATGGGCATGACCTCCTGGAAGAGATCCTAATACACACTGTCCCAATTACAGCTGTCTGTGGCATGTAAGAACACTATTGGGTATCAAGAGTTTCTGGTTCCTGTTCTTGGTCTGGACTAAGCTCATTGCCTATTGGCCAGAGCATTGAGCAGCTACGCTAGCCTAGCTTAGGTTTTTTATATTTATTCTCAAGTGTTACAAATGGAAAGAGGGAAGCTGGTTTTATTTCTAGGAGTATGTGGTTTGTGCAGTTTCTGTATTTTTGCTTTGGTGTTGAAAGGATATGCTGGTTGTCTGCCATTTATGATAAAGGTCATAGTGACTAATAATAGCTGTGAAGAATATTTACCTGGTGAAATGGAACTAGAACCCAGGATCACTTGGCTACCATTTGAGGCTATAGAACTATCTGTAGCAACGGTGGCTAATTTGCTGTACCACTGGCAAAGGAAGGAGGAAGGTATGACAAGACTGGAATGGACAAAACTTGAATATCAGGTCAAATAGTGAACACTTGGTAGGTTTGGACTTTTTTTTTTAATTGAATTTTTTCCCAAACATGAAAAATAAAAACGTAATAGGACACATAAAAGCATAATTGGACAAGCTTTAGTGGTTTCAAACTAAAAGACTGTAGATTTATATTGACCATAAGGAACACATCTTTTACTGTGAGGGTAGTAAAGCGCTGGCACAGGTTGTCCAGAGGGAGGAAACATTTAAGGTCAGGTTAAGCAACCTGATCTGGCTGAAGACATCCCTCATTGCAGGGAGGTTGGACTACAGGAGCTTTAAAGGTCCCTTACAACCCAAAGCATTCTATAATGGCAGACCCCTTGACATCCCATAAATAGCTTAAAGATTCTGAAATCCAAAAACTGATTTGTGGAAACTGTTGGACAGCTTGGGGTGTATGTTCTTTTTCTGCTCTTTCCAGAATCAAAGTGTGATCCTAAAATACATATATAACCAACTGGTTTTAAATTTGTCAAAAACCACATCCTTACTCTAGACAGAGCAAGAATTGTCATTTTATCCTTTTCTATTCTCCTTAAACAAGACTGGATTTGCAGCTGCTCTATTCAAACGCTTGCTTTATTCTCCCTACAATCTCCTCCTTCACTCTCCCTCATCCCCCTTTTCTCTTAATTTTCTTTCCGCTTTTTGTTCTTTATGCTTCCTTCTTTGTATTGGCAATTTCCACTGTAAATCTCAGATTGCCTCTTGCATTTTGTTTTCATTTTTAAACTATTGCTTCCTATATCATCCCTTAATAGATCCTTCTTTGTTTCTGCCTTCCATTTCTCTGATGTTCGCTGCACTCTGCCTCACTCTGTCATCTCTTACCTGCACCTGGCAGTGAGTGGCTGCATTTGAGCCGCGAGAACTCTCCTGGGAGCAGGCTCTGTTTGGCCAGTGCAGAGTGAGGGAAAGTGGCTGCTCTTCCTGGAGCTTTGCCAGAGCTCAGCTCCCAGACACTGACTGGAGGTAGCAGCCATTTTAAGTAAATTAAGTAAAACTGTGCAGTTGAAGACAAGTACAGAACTTAATGAAAATTACCAAATACAAGCTATTTAGGGCTTGAAATGGAGCCCTATAATTGGCTATTTGATTTACTACAAAATATCAACTTTTAAAAATAAGAAATGGTTTGATAAAAAATTAATACAGATTTAAGCTTAATAAAGAAGTTGACAAGCAACTACTGAAAGAATGACATGGAGGTAGGTTAAATATATATGAATATATGACTGTTTCAGTGAGACCTGGAAAAGAGGACAAATACAGAAGGAGCTGTACCTTAATATGGTTCTTCTTATGTGGCAGTATTAAAACTGTGGAAATTATTCACTGTTTACAACAAAGCTAACTAGTCTGGCAATATAGGAATATTCTATTTTGGCAAATCTCAATATTAACTGCTATGACAGCAACGTGAAAAATTGAATTAGAAGATCAGTTAAGCGTTTTTCATCTACTTGGTTCCATTTTGTAATATATAAGTAGCCCTCAATTAGTCTAAAGTGAGACTAATCTAAGTTGAAAAACATGTTTCTACAATAAAACTTGGGTTTTTTTCAGTACTGTAACACTTCATTTTAACCTTCAAGCTAGTTGGAATAGTCGCTTTCTGTCAAAAAGACTAGCATGGTTTGTTAGTCACAGGAGGCTTAAAGAGGCTTAAATTGCTTCATAATGAATTGCTTAAAATAAAAATACACCTTATACAATGTTAATTGTATTAGCTTGGCTTATTTTGGGCCTTTCTTACGTTTGTTTCTTTGGAACTGGCCCAGGTCAAGTAATTCATATACCAGATTGAATTAAGCTCTTGAGTTCTGATTCAGCTGTGGTTACTATCTTTTAACTTCCAGTTATGAGGGAGTTGGTTGCTAGAAACAAAAAAAAATAAAATTGTTTTCTTCTGGTGGCTAGTTGATCAAAAAATGTCTTTATATCTTGATTTTCTTTGGTTCTAGAGTGCTTTTCCTTATCCTAAAGATAGATCTAGCAAGTGAAACTGTCTCCTGGGAAGAACTGACAGAAACAGTGCAGTCCCTGGCATGTGAATCCTCAAATCATCTGAAAAGCAGTAACCCACAAGTAAATAGAGACAGAAAGGAGGGGCACAGAATGCCTAGAGCCAGCCCTGTGAGAGGTGGATAGTTAATAAAATTAAGTATTTTACTATTGCTGTAGGAAAACAGTTTTGCTGCCTTTAATGATTCAGAGCAGCACAAACAGGTTAGAGCAAGTGTTGAGAAACTCTTAATTACAGAGTTGATGTAGGGCAGGCAGACCATACAGTCCAACATAAACAGAGTGCAGAAAGCACAGACGTAAGTGTTAGAACAACTCACTTTCAACTGCCCTAATTTATCTTTCTCAGCTTTAGTCGTCTCTCTTTCATGCACAAAGCTATGCATATTTCATCCTTGGAAAATCAGCTTGCACTTTTATTGAACACTGTTATTTTCACACTTCTGATTTCAACGATGTATTTCCTTATGAGCATTACTATTTGGTGTGAATAATTAGTATTATGAATTACCCAGAATAAATATGCAGAATAATTCATCGACTGGTGCAAAACAGAGCACCAAGTGCCAGTGAATGAAATTCTGAAAATTTTACCTGACCTACATTAATGATCACTGTATTAATATCTTATGAGAGGAACTCCTGTCAGGCTGTGTATTGATGTGGAGGCTGGAGATATGTAGGTGGTGGGTAGTGAAAGGGAGGGAGGTAAAGTGTGGCACCACCATGTACATGTTAAATAGTAACATTCACACCTTGATTTTCTTCCCTTTTTTTTTCTTTCACCCCCTTTTTTTTTTTTTTTTTTTTTTTTTTTTTTTTTTTTTTTGTGAGTGTAGTAACAACTCAGTAATAAAACAGTTGTAATTTGAAAATTGGAAACTATTCAAATAGTACAACTTTTCACCTATGTACTGATTTTGATTTCTTTTTAAATTTTCATACTTGACCTATTTGTGTTTGAGTTTCAGAATATATTTAGAAATTATGTTATGACACATGATTATTTAATATATTCCTCAGCTAAGCAACGTGGCACGATTTCCTTTGTAATAGCTGTAAACTTTATAGCTGGTATGAGCTTATAATTAATTTCTTATGCTAGGAGTTTGTAAGGGAACTGTGGAAATACTGGAACTATTTCTTTGTCTAGCAGTTGTTCTAAATAGATGGCTATTTCATCTGGGCTTCTAAATCAAACTATTTAAGAGCTCATATTTAGTTAGTCACTTTCAGCTCAGTCTGACAGATATTTCCTCAGAGCTGATGATTCAGATTGCAGCAGTTTTCCCTGGGAAGAGGGAGTGTGCACATTTTTTTTTCCCCTTTCGAGCTCTCTTCCTTTCAGGAAGCAGCAATGAAATGCTGTCTTTCGGTAAGACTTCAAACCCCATGATTCCTTGGGAGAGCATGCGCTGAAAGCTTCCAGTTGTCAAAGTGCTCTTGCCAGGCTGGTCGACTATTTGACATATACCAAACCTGAAAGAAGAAAATAAATATACTGTCCTTTTGTTGATCTTTAAATACAGAAAATCCAAAGGTAACTGTTCCTTAAACATTTCTGTGTTGGCTGTGTGGGTTTCTGCATGCAACTGGATCTGGTATTGCTATGGGGATATAGATTTCCTGTACTGGATTGTAAATTTGTACAAATACTTACACCAAATAATCAAGAGCACTGCATACTAGTCCCACATTAGGCACTGGCTGGCCTGTCTTTCAAAGTCATTTATTAACAAGTATTTTTTCATTTGGACTGGCTTCATTCATTAAAGGAAGGTCTTGACCTTGACAAGAGGGTTAAACAGTGCAGTGATTTTTGCCTTTAAGAAGCAATATGGAAGGGAATATGACTCACAGTCCTTAGGATAAAGTTCAAAACCAGCTAGCTAAGTCAAGGTACATATTTGAAGCAACCGCTGTACTAGCCACTATAGATAACCTGGTGACTAACTAATTTAAAAATAACTTTATTGACGACAGAATTTTAACATTTCAGCTGCTATGTTTTTCTCTCTAAATGTATTTTTATACTGATAGGTCAGACCCAGGGGAGCGAGATACACATAATCCTTTTCTCCCTCTGATGTGGAGTCATCAGTTTTATGTAGCCTTAGGAGTAATAGTGATGTGGGTAGAAGTGAAGCTAATGGAAAGTTACACAGACAGAGCTTGGTATGTTCTGGTTTACTGCAGTATTGCTTTAAAATGCCATGCAAGGTTTTCTGCACTCCCAGCAGCAGCAGCAGTGCTGCCTGGAACAGATGCAGTGGTTTACCCCGTCCTTAGGAGCTTAATGTTGTCTCACAGCATGGTCTGCTCAGGCAGCCTTGCTGCTCGCTTTACATATTGAACTGGTAAATCAGGGAGAGCATAAGCAGTAACTTACCAGATACCAGAAACCTCTCCTGGAAGTCATTTTAATTAAAATGTGTGTGCATGCTTCAGAAGATATTTAAAGGAAAGAAAAAAAATGTAAGATACACCTGGACCATTTGAAGTCAGAAAGGACAGTTTCACACTCTACCACCTTTCTTAAACAGTTAATTGATTTGGCTTTACGTTGTTACATTACAAAAACAATCAAAAAAATTGCAGTCTTAGGCATGTAAATGTCATATGATTAACTCAATAGCAATGCATTTAGGTGATGTGATGGCCATCTTTGGCATAGTCAATTAAACTAAGTGATTTGGAGCTCATTAAAAATACTTCTGAGATTTAGAGTTATCTTCTCAATTGACGAAAAGCCTGCAAAATGTGAAGGCTCCTGTTGTGATTTCATGCAATGGCTGTTCATTGATGTCTGTATTGTATTAGTACTACTGGGTCTCAAAATCATTATAAAATTATATGATCTGCCCTGTTTCATATGGAACACGTTTTCTAGCAGATAGAAGTCTCAACCATTTCACATACATTTCCTTTCTGAAGTTTAAACTTACGTATTGATTTAGCAAATAATTTGCATCACTAGTCTTTGTCTTGTGTATATAAAGATGATTTTCAACATGCAGCATGTCTATATTGTAACTATTTCGATTTTCCCTGGTTTTATATTTCATTTGAAAGCATTAGAAAGATCATAGTCTAATAATACCACCCCGGTCTGCTGATTTTGACCTTACGGTTTTCTAGTGGAGAAATCACCGACGATTTCATATGTATGTGTATAAATAGAGCGGGTATGTATAAAAATAGAGCGAGTAGATAGCTATACCTTCAAGTGAAGGACTGCTTTGATGTAAAATAGCGTTTTACGCGGAGAGATCGTAAGGTCACCGAAGGCAAATCTGACACCCATCGGTGGCTTTGTACGCGAAGTGTCTCCGCCCCCCGGCCCCCCTTCCCGGCTGTGCCATCGCCTCGGCTGCCCGGAGCCGGCGCGGGCTGGGCGCAGGGAGCGGGCAGGAAGCGATTGTGCAGCGAGGAGCCGCTCCCGTATCAGCCAGCGTCCCTGTGCGCTTTGCCTCTGATAAACCTCAATCACTGCAAGCTCGCTTGTTAATTAAGGAAAATCGGTACCCGGCTCCTTTAAAGGTCCCCTAATAGAAAAGGGGGTGGAGAAGAGCGAAGACTGGTGTCTTTTTAACCTTGCTGAAGGACGCAGCAGTATTTATTGACGTATGCAAATAACCAGGGGGAGGAGGTGGAGGAGGAGGGTGCTTGGAAAAACAGGAACCAGAATCAGTTTCTCATTGCAGGGTGAGAGCTCTGAGTTCCGGTGTAAGAGAAAAGAGACGTGGCGAAATTGCTGTATATCTCTGCCCTATAAGCACATCTCTCATTTAGACTGAAGGGAAACAAGGCATCAAAAAGGGTGAAGCATCTTAAAAAATATTTTAAGGGCAATCTAGCACGATCAAAGGTTACATATTCCTAAATGGGGGAGGGGGAAGATTACGGGTTTGCCTTGCAATATGCTGTAGCATAGTACTAGCAATAGGACGAGATTTTTGGCTGGCAAATGATTAAAACAGACTGGCTTGCGGTATGAATGACAATGTTAATAATCTGTCTTTGTGGTTTTTTCCCCTACTGTTTCAGCTGCGCAAACCATGCAGGATGATTTACTGATGGACAAAAGCAAAGCCCAGCCCCAGCAGCAGCGGCAGCAGCAGCAGCAGCAAGATCCAAACTCAGCAGAAGCCCCCTCTACACCCATCTCGTCGGAAACACCCAAACCAGAAGACAACAGTTCAGTGACTAGTATCGGCACATCGGCTCCTTCCCAAAATAGCAAGGAGAAGATGCAGATGGAGTCTCCCATTTTGCCTGGCTTGAGCTTTCACCAGCCTCAACAAGAACCTGCAGCCGGCACCTCCTTGTCTCCCTCGTTTGGCAGCACCTGGTCTACAGGGACCACAAACACGGTGGATGATAGCTTTTTCCAAGGGATTACTCCAGTCAATGGGACAATGCTTTTCCAGAATTTTCCACACCATGTCAACCCTGTATTTGGTGGCACTTTCTCACCTCAGATTGGCCTAGCTCAGACTCAGCACCACCAACATCAGCAGCAGCAGCAGCAAGCTCAGCAGCAGCAGCAGCAGCGGAGGTCACCTGTGAGTCCTAACCAGGCACCTTTCGCCCAGAGAAATGCTGCTTACAGCCATCAGCCCATCATGACCAGCAAACCGTCTTCCTCCTCTGCCTCTTCTTCTTCCTCCTCCAGCTGGAATAACCACCAAAATGCGGCTTGGAGTACACCTTCCAACCCTTGGGGTGGGCTGCAGGCTGGTAGGGACCCTCGAAGGGCAGTTGGAGTGGGGGTTGGCGTGGGAGTGGGAGTCGGCGTGCCCTCCCCCCTCAATCCCATTTCACCCCTTAAAAAACCCTTCTCCAGCAATGTCATTGCCCCTCCGAAGTTCCCACGGGCTGCACCCTTAACCCCCAAATCCTGGATGGAAGACAACGCGTTCAGGACGGACAATGGCAACAATCTGTTGCCTTTTCAGGTAAGTGACTACACGCACCTTCTGCATGATGACAGCTATCACAAATTTCTATTTTTTGTAAGGCTATGTTTCGTGTTACTGTTCTGTCTGAGTGACATCTCCATAACTCATGTTTTCATCAAATAGTCACCTTACATGAAAGAAGTGGGGTTGAACCTAGGGAGTGCATACACAAAGATTTCCAATTCTAGCTTAAGGTTTAAAATCTTATTTTTCTTGTAACTTATTGTTAAATGTCGTATATGGGGTTTTTTTGTTGTTGTTTTTTGCTCTTTTTTTAGCATCGGAAAGATAGTAGCCTTCATGAAAAACAGGTTTGGCAGACTACATTCCCGTGGTGCTGTGTTAGAATTTTTTTTCCTATTCTCCTATATGTGAGAAAGCTGAGATGTTGAAATTGCTGGTTCAGTTTTCTAACTGGGCTGTTAATTTTAACCAAAGATGCTTCTTGACCTGAAATTCAGTTAATTATTTTATCACCATTGCAATAACTAATTGTCCTTATGTTGTGGTGGGATTTAACAGGGAGTCTGCTCACATAAGGCATCCATATGAAAAGCTGTGTACATCTAATACGTACACCCTGCTGTTATATTCACAGTGGACGTTTTGAATACATCTTGAAGCAGCGTGGGTGTGTATGGAAAGACTGGCGTATGTGTCCTTTCCAGTAAGGAAATGCCTAATACAATTGACAGGATTTAGAAATGACAGGAAAGTATTGTATTAAATAAACCATTTTATGCTGCTCAGAATATTTGCAGAGAAAAGAGACAATAGGACACGACCTTCAGAGCCATATTGCAATGGAGTCTATTTACTAGCTACACAGCTCTGAAATATTTAAAGCTGCAGTGCCCTTCACTGTTTTTTTTTTTAAATCTATGACGACAAAGCAGATCAATTGCAGCTGAAACTGGGCCAAATGGAAGATTTGCAATTTTAATGCAGAATGAAACCTGTCATGCTGTGAAATCCATTTTAAGTTGAAAAAAATCAGAGCTTGCACTTGCAGTTATATCTATACTAGGTGAAATGAATCTCAGACCTTTTCTAGGTTAGCTGTTTTGGTGTCAGACAGGTCAAAATTTTCTGCTGTGAAATTCAGTTAAATCATTCATATATGCTTGCTCTTTAGGTAGTTGTTTCCTCAAGAAAGTATGACCTCTCAAACATTTTTAACTTAGCAGTTTGGTAAGAATAGCATTTAGATTGACACTTAGTTTTAGAAACAGAGTAAAAAAAGAAATCAAATAAATGCATCCCCACCCCCATTATTTTAGGAGACTGTGGAAGTAAAATATATGCACTTTCTAGTCCTATTCAAAGAGGACATCTTATAGTCAGCCCTGAAATTTCATTTTGCTGCTTCATTCTGTTTAAAGGGAGAGTTGCAATTTTTTTATTGGCTGCCCTAAATGAAGGTGGAGTGGCTTCTGGTGAGCTGCTGGTTAATGTCTCTGAAGCACTGAAGGCTGGAGGAAGATTACACTTTAGACACAATTTGCATGCTGTAAATACTATGTTGCACAGAGCACAGCACCATAAAAGCTAATAGCTCCCAGTCATTTTTTAGGAATGGGAAGTGTGTTTCAATTTACAAGTATTCTGAATTGTCTACATGTAAGACATTACAAATCTTGGTATATTTCAATTAGTAGTGAAAACAACAGTAAATGGTCTTATTTCTGTGGTTTGGTTAGTGAGATACATCTTTAATGAATACAGAACTTTATTATTGTGACTGTAAATTGTCACAAATTAAACTGGCAGATATTTACTCATCACAAGGAAAAAAATAGCTAACTGCTTTTAAAGAAAAGTTCTTTTGATTTTGAAATTAAGGTTTCAAAAAAACTAAAGTATTAGCCAATATGTAAATTGGAAACTTGTTTTCTTCTCTGTGGATTTAACCTGGTATTTTCATGTAGCAAATGCGTAGGCTATTCTCAGCACCAGCTGGTATAACAGTCTGATTTCAAAGACTCAGAACACTTGTATTTTTTTTTCCTATTAGGCTTCTTTTTTTAAAATACAAGCTGCTGAATTTTGCTTATTAAAAATTGTTATCTGGGTTACTGTTGATTACTGCTATACTTTACGAAATGCCAAAGACATCTTGAAACCATACCATTGGTAGGAGACAACTGTTTAGTGGCACTGATAAAAATGAAATTCAAATTAGTCTAAGAGTTTAATATTTGCTGCCAAGGTTCTGGTTGTCTTTTTTCTTCTTCCCCCCACCCCTAAATTGGGCAATATGTTGACACAGTAAGTTCTGCTTGTCAGCACTATCAAGTAGTTCTGGCAGGTTTATCCGTTTACATCTGCCACCCTCCATAACTGTGTGGTTTTGAGCAACTTTAGAAATACCTTCCAGTAAACTTCCTAGCAACACTTATGCACATTAGCAAGTTCTTTGTGTTAACCTGTTATTTTATGTTAGGATTATTAGGCTTTCTAAGAAAGAAGAATACTATTAATATCTTCACTGTTTGAAATAACATCAGGGAGAGCTGTTTTGTAGTTCAGGTCTTTGCAGTGATCATTTTGATCAGAAAAGATCTGTAACTGAGATTTGTGTTCTGAGTCTATAATATTTGAAGATAGTTGATACTTGGCTATTGATGTATCTTGCTCTAGGAAAAAATGTTCAATTTTAAAATATTTCTCTTAAAACATGTAAATAAAGCAATATGCTACATATTTTCGTCCCTTAATTTGAGTAATTCTTTAGTGCATCTTATATGTCAAAACCAATTGGTGGCTGTCCCAAGGAGTTGTGCTGCAAACATATTAGAAGATTTAAATTACAACTTGGTAGGAACTCTGCTGGTGTTTGCCTTGTTATTGGTGTGGAAAGGCCACTAAAAATGCTTTGAGGGAGACTACATTCATACACTTACTGGAAAAAATCAATTGCACTGTATATATTAAAAAAATGGAGATCCAAAGCTGATAGTTGAAAGGAAAAGAGAAGTGATCAGTCTGGAATGAAATGTAATGTAGCAGGTGAGAGCTGGAGATGAGATCATGGGAACAGGTGTGGAACTAGGCCAGAGAGGAAATACAAAAACATGGCCAGTTTGTTCTTCTGAGTATTTTTTTGGCTTCTGAGTGGTTCAGGTGCAGGGTCTCTGACTGTTGTGTGGCAAGCAGTCCTTTTACGCTATTGTTAGGTGATCCTCAGCTCTGGCATTTGGGGCTGGCATTAACTGATTGTCCCTGGGACGCCGTTCTCCTGGCAGTGGCTCAGTTCCATTTTCCAGCAGAGTGGTGGGGCTTGTACAGAACTGTTGTCATTTCCTGCTTCTGAGCTTCTCTTTCCCTTCACTTGTCTCAGGTAAATGGTGTATTTCTTTCGGCTTTTGGCCATGTGAAGATACTGGGACACAGCTTGTGGGGTTAGGAGGATTGATAGTGCCTGAAATAGACCCTTGGAGGCAAGGATAAGAAATTCTCTTTGCAGGGAAGATAGAGAAGGAATTAAATGTTTGCAGACCAGTATTCTAATTAAGTATGTCTACCTTGTGGATTTTTAATTATAGCAACACTGTAACAATTTTCCAGAAACTGTGCTGAGTTTTGCTGTTTTCCAAGTAATGTTCTTTAGAAACAAAATATGCTTTGCAGTTTGTGCTCTGAAGATTCTGGCATGCATCAAACCATTCTTGGCAGCTTTACTGATAAATATTTCTCTGGCAGAAATAAAAAAGGTGGTGTTTATTGTGTATAAAGATAGTTTTAACATGCTATCTTTTGCAGGGAGACTGAGAAAGGATTTTTGGGGAAGTGTTTTGGTGTGGTGTTTTTTTCTTCATTGTTTTTAACTGGACTTAGTCTGGACCAGATAAAAGTATAAGTGAAATTTAGGAATTTTTTATAACTTCAATATTTCATACTTAAACAAAATGCCAATTCTAACATGCAATGAGTTTGTGTTTAAATATAAGTGTGTATATATGTATAAATGTAGAGTTCAAGTATTGGAACATTCATGAGTGTAACAATTGAAGTTGTGTGTTTATGAGTAAAGGACTTTTACTGGTTAGTACACTCTGGTTACTAATTTTAAAAACCTTTTTTAAATCTAGAGGGTTCTTTTTCAGTCAGAAATAGTTGTACGCAACTATGTAATAAGTCTATTTAAAGATTAATTTTTAAACCAGTATATTTCTTTAGTCTAAATTTGTTGTTCTGGGCTCTAGCTTCTTGGAAGTTTAGTAGGTAACCACACTTAGTAGTGTTACTGTTACCTTAAAAACTGTTTCTTAACATGTAATTCAGTCTTTATTTTTCTTGTGTGATGATGCACAAGCACTGGCAGCCTGCAACTTTATGGTCAGAAAGAAAAAAAAAAGAGGAAAGTACCTAGGTCTGCTTCCCCCCCTCCCGCTTTCTTACACGCTTCTGTTGGTACTACTAACTAGAACCAGCTACTAACTGTAGCTGGATTCTGAATACTTAAATGTGGGAACACATATTGTAGTATCTCAGTAGTCTTCCAGTGTAACAGATACAAGTGACACATGATATTCTATTGAAGTAGTTGTGAAGTATTTTACAATTTTTTGTTAGATTTTAAATTTGATTGAATTGTAAATGTCTGCATGTTCAAATTAACTAAAACATAGGAATGGCACAAGAAAAAAGCACACAGCTGTTTTATATTCAAAGTATGATAATTGAGCACTAATTGCTTATTGGTCAGAGTTTTGATTTTAAGTAATCAATCAGTTAATCTGTCAGAGTTAGTGCAGGTAGAGCAAAGGTCTGAGTTTGGTAGGCAGCTGATGTTATGATCAGCTCTGTACATAGACAGCACTTCCTTAAAAAAATTAAAGGTATTAATATCAAACAGGGAATCAATAATTCTGTCTTAAAAATTTGGTAGAGGGTTTATCTGTCTTTGGGAGGAACAGTAGAAGGGAAGGGGAAGAGCATGGAGTTCATTTTGCTATTTCCCTTCTTGGATCACGTCTCCCAGGTTTCATCTATTT